AAGACTTTAAAACAAACTAGCAAACAAGACAGGATATCAAGATGCAAATGCCTGGTTGGAATGGATCAAATATTCCATGTGCATGTTAAACAAAAGCAATTGTTATGCTGCATGCATGACATTCCCTTTCCACTAGGATGGTCCTCCAGCTGACCAGGAATGGGCTGTATGGTAGCTCTTTTCCAAGACTCTACAGCCTGGGGTAACAAGTCATGCCAAGCTTTCTCTCTGCTGTATCCTGAAGTTCAACACCCTGTGGGTCAGCCCCCGAAGGCCATCCTGCTTCCATCTCTGAATACTAAGTTCACTTCATGTCTCTCACAACAAGAAGGAAAGTTAGCATTCCTTGGAGACCTGAAGGGATGCAGTGAGTTAAGACTTTTCAAGAGCTTACTAATCAATCAGCCCTTGTTCGTCCCCGAACGATATGCGGTGATATTGCAGTGGACTTTTACTGGACACTGTGCCAAGTAACTGGAGCAGCACTTGTGCTCTAGTCCAATTGGCCATCCCTTTTACCCTGGCATTTCATCAACCAGAGGAAGGAAAAATACAACATCATAAAGTAAGAGAAGCCTATTATGGGTCTTTCAACTCTCACATCTATTTAGATACAATTGGAGTCCCACAAGGAGTACCAGATAAATTTAAAGCCCAAGATCAAATAGCTGCAGGATTTGAGCCAATATTTTAGTGGGTGACAATTAATAAAAACATAGATTGGATAACTTACATTTATTACAACCAACAGCGGTTTATTAACTACACCAAAGATGCTGTTAAAGGAATAACTGAGCAATTAGAGGCTACTAGCCAGATGGCTTTGGAAAACAGAATAGCCTTAGACACGATATTAGCAGAAAAAGGAGGAGTTTGCGTCATGATTAAAACTCAATGTTGTGGCGGGGCGCGGTGGCTCAAGCCTGTAATCCCAGCACTTTGGGAGGCCGAGGCGGGTGGATCACGAGGTCAAGAGATCGAGACCATCCTGGTCAACATGGTGAAACCCCGTCTCTACTAAAACTACAAAAAATTAGCTGGGCATGGTGGTGCGTGCCTGTAATCCCAGCTACTCAGGAGGCTGAGGCAGGAGAATTGCCTGAACCCAGGAGGCAGAGGTTGCGGTGAGCCGAGATCACACCATTGCACTCCAGCCTGGGTAACAAGAGCGAAACTCCGTCTCAAAAAAAAAAAAAAAAAAAAAAAACTCAATGTTGTACCTCCATCGGCCCCTAAATGGAAGTATAACAAAGGCACTGCAAGGTCTAACTGCGCTATCCAATGAGTTAGCCAACAACTCAGGGATAAACGACCCCTTCGCAGGGCAGCTATAAAAATGGTTCAGTAGAGAAAGGAATCATGTCCTCAATTCTTACTTCTCTCGCAGCCGTAATGGGTGTACTCATCCTTGTCGGGTGTTGTGTCATACCATGCATCCTTGGGTTGTGCAAAAGACTCATAGAATCAACACTTACCAAAACCTCCCTTAACTAACCTCCGCCTTATTCAGAGAAGCTTCTTCTTTTAGAAAACAAGCAGAACAACGAAACCAAGATGTGTTTAGGAAGTTTGAAGAGAAAGAGCTATAAGGAAAACTCAAGAGGAGGGAATTGTTGGTTACAAAGAATTCTAAATTTATCTTCAAAGAATCAGTATGTCAATATGTTCAGTTCTTTGTCCTCCATTTTGAAGTTTAACTTCCTTGTTGTTTCAGTTAACAACCTCGTTCTAATTAGTAGTTCACATGAGTTCCCCCAGTCCCCTGCCCTGTCCTGACTCATCCCAGTCACCTGCTCCCGTCACTTGCCCCAGCCACCTGCTCCATCACCTTCTCCAGTCATCTGCTTTGGCCTAGGTAACCCCTGGCTACCTGCTCCGACCTGCACATAACCATCCTTCCAGCCAAACTACCCACCCCACCACTCTCGTTCGTACCCCTGCTCTCTTTAAAATAGCCAATCAGAATTAGTTTAGACTATGCAGTCTAACCCTAGCCAATAGGGGAATGACACAGCAGTAGGGGTGACCTCCATCAGGAATAATTACCGCTTCTCCTCCCTGGTCCAGGTGTGTGCACTCCGTTGCCCCATTCACGAGGTGCACCCTTCTATAGAAGTCAGCTTCCTTGCTGAGAGGATTTATCTTTGAGTGCTATTTTTTTTTTTTGCAGCAATGAAATTTTACATATAACAGGAAGCCAAGGCAAAAGAATCACTTAAGCCCAGTAGTTCAAGGTTGTAGTGACCTATGATGGTACCACTGCACTTCAGTGTGAGTGATGTTTAGGCCAGGCATAGTGGTTCATGCCTGTCATCCCAGCACTTTGGGAGACCAAGACAGGAGGATCACTTGAGGCTAGGAGTTCAAGATCAGTCTGGGAAACATAGGGAGAGACACTGTCTATAAAAAAAAAAATCTAAAAATTAGCTGAAGCTGGTGGTGTGCACCTGTATTCTTAGCTACTTAGGAGGCTGAGGCAAGGGGATTGCTTGGGCTCAGGAGCTGAAGGCTGCAGTGAGCTATGCTCCTGACACTGAACTCCAGCCTGGGTGAAAGAGCAAGACTCTATCTCAAATAAATAAATAAATGGTGACAGAGCAAGACTCTATCTCAAATAAATAAATAAATAAAAATATCCTTAAACTTCATAACAAACTAGGAAATACAAAATAATATCACAATGAGATATTTTCCAGCCACTAAATGGGCAAAATGAAGGCGTTGGAAATGCCAAGAGCTAGTGAGAAAGTGAAGCAACAGGAACTTATATACTATGCACTACTTGCTGGTGGGAGTCTAAACTGTTCCAATCACTTTGGGAAATAATTCAGCCTTCTCGTGTAAAATACAACATACAGTACCATACAGCATTATGTATATTCCAGAGAATCTCTTCTACCTGTGGCCCAGGAGACATGCACAATAAATTTTTATATATTCACAGAATGCAACTGTATGTATAGTAAATGTGAACAGACTGCAGCAAGATGTAACAGCATGAATAAATGCCAACAAACAACATTGGGTAAAAAGAGCAAATTGCAGAAGACTACACACAACATGATGTCATTTTTATAAAATATATACACACACTATACATATATGTGTATCATACATATGTGGTAGAACTATTTAACACACACAACGCAGTCATACAATTACCTTGGGCAGGAGTTGGAAAATAAAGGAAATAGAACACATGTGCCTTCAATGCTATTGATAATTTAGAATGATTGGCTAGGTCTGGGAATAGTGTGGGAATTAGACAGATTGTAGGAATTGCAGCAGTGACGGGGAAAAATTGTGGTTTGATAAGTTAGGTTCAAACTCCAAATCACGGGTGCTCATGTTATTATTTGCTTTACATGCACATTGTACATACTCTTAGTTATCAAATATTATGTGATAATAGAATTTAAAGAATATGTAAGGAGCAGGAAGTGCTTATGACATAATGCTAAAGGAAAAGAGCAGAACATAGAACTTTGTATGTAGTATATGAATCTGTTTCATTTTAAAACAGGCACACACCTCATTTATGGGTATTTGTGTGCAGAGAAAAAAGATTGGATAACACCAAAATGTTATGAGCAAATGTCTCTGGATATTGGGATAGGATGTGATTTTTTTTTCTTTATGCTTTTCTGAATGTTCCAAATATTTCACAAGGGCATAAATACATATTAATTTTACACCGATAAAAATTGTGCTTTGTGTGGTGACTCATGCCTGTAATCCTAGCACTTTGGGAGGCTTAAATGGGAGGGTTGCTTGAGTCCAGGAGTTCAAGAACAGCCTGGGTGAAATAGACCTCGTCTTTACAAAAAATAATAATAATTTTAAAACATAATAAATACATAAAATATAAAGTCTTTAAAAAGTTTTACAGTTTGATAGAGATTAAGCTACTTTTTACTAAAAATTCTGTCAATGTTCATGTTTAAATTTCAACTCTATTTTTAACATTCTAGATCTTAAACTAGGTGGTGAATCCAGGAATGTTCATTATGTTATTCTTTATACCCTTTTATATATGTGATGTATTTCATGATATTGTTTTAAAGTTGCTATTAAAAGTAACTACATGGTTGGAGATTTTTTTTTTTAAGCAGGATTAGTGGAATGGTTAGAGCAAATCACTCTTTGTCTAAGCAAACACCAGGAGTGTGAATCTGTAGCTTTAGTCACAGCTAGCAATATGGCCTTACTGGCTGTATAGCATTTACTGAATTTTTCTTGACAATTCTAAAATTTGAGAGTGGTGCCAGATAAAACTGCACCAGGAAATCTGGAAGGAATGGTTTCTTCTGACTTCAAGAAAACAAATTTTACATTTCTGTGACATAAGACAGGTTTTCTTTTTTTCAAGAATTATCCTCCACCCTGAATAACTATAACATTTCAGTTTGTTTAATACATCAAAATCATTAGTACATCAAAATTCTCTTAAATATTTGATAGTAATCTTTCTAAAAACCCTTGTCTTACTGTACTTGCCTAGTGTTGCAAAAAATGTAGTGTTAGTATTAATATTAAAAGCATTTTCAAAGAAATTTCTAAACGGAAGCCAACCCTCTGAGTTGATATTTCAAAGTAGTATCTATAAACAGAGTAATTTGTTCCAATTTCAGATGAAATCAAGCTGGGAACCTAGAGAACTGCCCCCCAGGATCTAGGGAATGGTAGTCAGGTCCTAAGCTTCGGAAAAAACGAGGAGCGGAGTATGGTCTTACAAGCTTTGTGCATTTTATCTTGCTTTTCCCCCTTTATTTGATATGTTGTCATACGGGAAGGGATTTATGGGTGTCTCACGAGAGATCAAGTGCGGACCAGACCTGACTCTAACCGGGAGCCGGACCTCACCTCTGCTCTACATCTGCTGGCCACAGCAAGAAAAACCACAACCCCCGACAGGCCTTAGGGCGCTGGGGCGGGGCCATTCCGTCGATTGGTTGTTCCGCAGTCCCAGCGAAGCGATGATTGGCCAGATCTAAGGATGACTGCCAGCGGGAATTAGAGCAGAGCCGGGGCCAAAAGGGCAAGTCGGGGGGTTTAGGTCAGAACTCCAGCGGCAGCCTGGCAGCAGGAGCTCGAGAGAAGCATGGCTCAGAAGCATGTTTGCGTGCTGGCCGTGGCGGCTGTGCTGCTCCTACTTTTCGCCACCGACTGCAGATCGATGGGCCTGAGGAGCCAGGAGCATCAGAGGGCGTCGTGAATCCCTTCTCAGTTCAGCAAAGAGGAGCGTCGCGATGAAAGAGACACCGAAAGGTGAACCCGGCTCCCTTTCGCCCACCTATGCTCAGATGTGAGTCTCTCCCTCCCCAGGTCAACCCATGACTCCCCGCTTCCACCTCAGAGGGTCCGCTACTGCAGCTGGAGCCCTGCCACGCACCCCAGCCCGGCCCCAACACCCTTCCCAGCACATGTGCCCCGGCTTGGGGACGCCACACCTCCCCATACCTGGCTCCTGAAACTCTGGTGTGCCCTGCCTAACCTGGGAGCTCCAGTTTCACGCCTCTTAGCGTGACCACCGTCCCCTCTCTCCCCTGCTTGCCTGGAGTATTACACCAACTTTCATTTGTACAGCACTTTTAACTCGTGAAAGTTTGCATGCCTGTTAAGTTACTGCGGTATGGTAAAATGAGACTAAATGATCTTAGTCTTATCTGCAGAGGCGAGAAATTGAGGCGTAGGTCAGCTAAATGATCTTCCCGAGGGCCCCGTGGCAAAGAATGGGCACTGGGTGACACCATCTAGTGCCTGTTGGGCTCGCTGGGATCAGATGGCACTAAAGAAAGGGAATAGAGTGTTCCTGGAGTGTGGCATCTTCCTGATTCTCAATCATAATTGAAGAACATGTCTCCCGCAGACCTCTAATCCAAACCAAAAACTCATTCCCCTTCTGAATCGGCATTTTCCAGGAAAGTTTCTGTTGAGTGCTAGATCCGATGGGATGAAATCCTTCTTTACCATTCAGCTTAGCTCCAGTCTTTTGCCGTTCATTAAGTAATGGATTAAGAGAAACTGCCTGAATAAGCATAGGCAGATGCTGGGACCAAAAGCTAACCTCAATGGTTGGTTATAGATTGTGCATATGCTAGAGTGACAGTCCTGGGAGGCAGAGCAGGGCTTTCCCAAAGCATAGTATAAATAGTCCTCTAAAGGCATTATTAGGCAGCCACTCAAAGTCTCTGCACAGAAGAGAACAAAAGCTACGTAAGAACCTAGAATAGGGACCTCATAGCAACACAGCTTAGAACTCTGAGCAGGGGACAGAACACCTAAGCTCAGATCTTGGGCCTGCCCTTGAGTAGGCACTTGAATCTTTCTGAACCTCATCTTCCCCAACTATCTGGTGGGCTGTGCTGTTGCAGGGTTGATCCTTAGCAAAACTGATGGAATTTTGTCTTTCAGAGACCCTTCCTGGATGTCAGGCTGCCTCAGGTGAATTTGTTCTCACTGTGTTCTTCTTGGAGAGTGATCTAATTCAATATTCTCATGACTCATGCTTTCCCGCCCAGTGCCGTTTGTCTTTGATCATGGAACTCTTTAAAGCCTGAAAGTCTCAAAGGGATGAGCCTAGTGAGGGTTCAGGATATGAGACAACTGAGTAGGGAGGATGAGATCATTTTAGGACTGAGGAAGTTGTTTGGGGGCACTTAACTCTTTAAATCCACCCCTTCCCAGGCATTATATGCCCAAAAAGCTGGCCTTCGTTGAGAGACTAGTGAGACTCTGCATGAGGAATAAGCCTTTACACACAAAAACACACAAGCCTCATTGATGTAGGGATGCAGGACAGTGGGTGCCTTGAGAATGATGAAGCTTGGATTCATCAGAAGTGGTGATTTCAGAGCTAGAGTGAGGCGTTAGGAAGAATTTATAGTAGCTTCCCCTCAACACCAAGGTCCAAAATCCATTTCCCCCAACCTTAGACCATATTTGCCTTTAAGAACCACATCAGCCTAAACAAACCCAGAAGACATGGGTTTAAATCTCTCGTCTACGTGTTGCTTGGGCAGCTCACCTAACCTGTCTAAGCTTTTTCCTTCATCTTTGAATTAGTGGAAAAAATAGTGCCTACCTCACATTAGTGTTTTGCCCTCTGCAATACGATAATGAATACAAAAGAAATTTTCATGCACAGAGGACTGTAGAGAAAAAACAATGATTAATTTGTTTTTAATCTTTCATCTCTGATTATTTGACTCTGACAGGTGCCATCCAGATTCCAACAGTGTCTTTTGGCCCTGAGGAGTCCAATACTACAGCCCTGGCTGAGTTTAGAGAATACATTTTTAAAGGTCAGCTGCAAATCAGGAGCAAGGGGTGGGTGAAATAGCAATAGAGATACAGTTCTTTTACAAGTAACAAAGACGTTTATTTTGTGACTTCTCAGAGGTTAGTCTAATTTCCATGGGCAGCATGCAGACTGTAGATTTGCTCTTGGAAAAACTAAGCCACATATATAGGGCAAAGATCGAGAGTTCATCCAGCCATTGTGTTAGAGTATAAACTCTCTCAATCTTTTCCCTACATACGTGTCATTCAATAAATATTAAATCATCAAAAGGTAGAACTAGGGTTTCCTTCTACCTGTGCAACTGCCCAGACCTATGCTCCATGTTCCTCTCACCCCTACCTCCTTACACACCCCTGCACACCTGTACACACACACTCCACCTTCTCAGGCCTACTCCAGATTCGTTACTAACACATTTCTAGGCCTCTAGGCAGTCAACAGCTCTGAGCTATAACATCTGTTCCTTTCCCTCATCCCCACCGCCCACGGAGTACAGAGCTATAGAAGGATGGGTCAGAGGAAAAAAGGATTCTTGGAACTCCTCCCTCCCCTTATTAAAATCTCATAAAGAGTAATGAGATTACATTCCTAAATCTAATTAAAAACAGCCCCTCCAAAGTTATCTGAGGTGGGAGAAGCTGGCCTAGGAGCAGCAAGTAACCCCCTCTCTAACACCCTGGGACAAATGTCTCTGGGATTAGCCATGCATGGTGGCAAGCACCTGTAGTCCTAGTTACAGGAGGCTGAGGTGGGGGAATCGCTTGAGTCCAGGAGCTCAAGGCTACAGGGAACTGTGAATGTGTCACTGTGCTCGAGCATAAATGAGAGAGCAAGTCCCTGTCTCTGAAAAAAGAGAAAGGAAGGCAAAAACAAAAATGAATGGCTCAGGGATTAGTGCCCAGTAGCCAAGCTAAGGCCAGCCTGAAAAGGCTGGAAGTCTTTATTAAATAGGAGATAAATATAGGAAAATGCGCTGGGTACAGTGGCTCATGCCTGTAATCTCAACACTTTGGAAGGCCAAAGCAGGCAGATCACATGGTCAAGAGATCAAGACCTCCTAGCCAACATGATGAAACACCATTTCTACTAAAAATATAAAAATTAGCTGGGCATGGTGGTGCACACCTGTAGTCTTAGCTACTTGAGAGGCTGAGGCAGGAGAATCACGTGAACCCAGGTGGTGGAGGTTGCAGTGAGCTGAGATCACCCCACTGCACTCCAGCCTGGTGACAGAGATACACTCTACCTCAATAAAATAAAATAAAATAAATGTCTAGTGACAGTAAAGTAGATAAGCTAGGTAACAAGATAAAACCATATTCTTCTTCAGTTTTTGGGTAACCACAGAAGTATATGTGAATTCTTCCAACAAAGCCAGAGAGAGATAAAATTTCTCCTATGCAGCTAAAGTCACTTGAATAATTGACCCTAGGAACATCTACACCTGCACACAGAAGTATGACCTGTGTTAAAAAGAATAATCTTTATGTTCACATAGCACATACACTAAATGTATTATTTTTTAAAAAGAAAAATATCTCTGAATTTTAAAATATATTATTTAAATATAATTTGGTTAACGGGGCCTACTAATTTAACATAATAATTTAATATAATTTGGTTAATGAAGCCTACTATAGTTAAAATTTAACGCATACCTCATCTTCATAGCTCTTTAACATGTTCTTGCGATAGCATGTTATAGGTCAGACCAAGCCTGAGCTTGAGATACTCACCATCTTAATAGTGAGTCTTTTTTGTTTTTTTTTTTTTTGAGATGGAGTTTCACTCTTGTCACCCAGGCTGGAGTGCAATAGTACAATCTAGGCTCACTGCAACCTCTGCCTCCCGGGTTCAAGCGATTCTCCTGGCTCAGCCTCCTGAGTAGCTGGGATTACAGGCGTGTGCCACCACACCTGGCTAATTTTTATATTTTTAGTAGAGATGGGGTTTCGCTATGTTGGCCAGGTCGATCTCGAACTCCTGACCTCAGGTGATCCGCCCATCTCAGCCTCCCAAAGTGCTGAGATTGCAGGCATGAGCCTCCGCGCCCAGCCTTAATGGTGAGACTTAATTTGCGTGTTATTACGTACTAGTAGCACATTGAAATATAGGGAAGACAAATTTCAAAGATTGTCCAGGTAGATCAGAAATCAGACTAGTTTTGTCCTAGAAGGCTTCCTAAAGAAGGATGAGTGTTTAAAAAAAAAAAAAAAAAGGGACAGGAAGCACACCATGGCAGGAAAACCTAAGGAAACTGTTAATCCTGGTTTTCTCTCCCTGCCCTTTTTACCTCTAGTCTTTCCTACGGTGCTCAGCACCAGCTTTATCCAGCATGAAGTCATGGGAGAGTACAGCCACCTGTTCACTGTCCAAGGCTCAGACCCCAGCTTGCAGCCCTGCCTGCTGCTGGCTCACTTTGATGTGGTGCCTGCCCCAGCAGAAGGCTGGGAGGTGCCCCTGTTCTCTGGGTTGGAGCGTGATGGCTTCATCGACAGTTGGGGCACACTGGATGACAAGAACTCTGTGATGGTCTGAGATGCAATGTTCCCTCTGCCTTAGGGCCCTGAAGATCAATTCAGTCTGGGGGTGCTTGGCTGACCCTGGGAGGTGGGAGATAATGGTAGAAAGAACCTTGGCTCCAGGAGACCTGGGTTCCAGCCATCAGTTTGTCACTTTCCTTTTCTGGGCCTCGATTTCTCAACTATAAATAGGGATTGGAGTAGATGGTCCCCAGGGACCCTTTCAGTCCTGACACTGATATATTTATGCTCTTCTCCCTGCCATAAGGGTTCTGTTTCTTCACATTAGGCCTCCTGTACCATTTGAGTCTGTTCTCCTTCAAGAGAATCTATCAGATCCTCATCCCACCAGCCCTGATGTAGACAACTAAATGTCGCTGATATCCTGGTACCCCCACCTAAATAATGTCTTTCTGCTCTTCCATTGTACTTCTGAACCCCAGGCATTCCTGCAGGCCTTGGAGCTCCTGCTGATCAGGAATTAATCCCTCGAAGATCTTTCTTCATTTCCCTGGGCCATGATGAGGAGGTAGAGCCTCCTTACCCTAAACTTATCTCTGTCCTCTGTTGGGGAGAGGGGAGTGGGCACTTAACCCTAGTCCAGTTTGCCCACAGCTGCAGGGTCTCTGTAATATGGTAGTTTGCCAACTTCTCTGTGTGTCTAAGGACGGTCTAAGGACCTTGACCAAAATTCAGATTCCTGGGCCCTGTGCCATGCATCTGGATTTTCAGCAAACTCTTTCATAATATCTTCATAATATCTGAGGCAGGCAGAGGTCCATCACCTATACCCTGAGAAACATAGGTGTGATGGAAAAAGAACTGACCAGGGAGAGCAAATGACTACGTTTTATTTCCAATGATGCTACTTACTTAGACCCTGGGCAAGTCAGTTCACTCTTTTGGCTCAAGTTTTTTCATTTGTGATAAAAGGGAGGGTGGGCACTTCTAGCTCTGACATTCCAGAATTCAGTGAGGCAGGATTGCTTAGGACCCTGCCCCCCAGGAAGAAGACTAGCTAGAAAGTTTCTGGAGCCCCTAGCTAGGCCGAATGGGTCCCCATTAGCTATGTCTAGAGGTTTGTCTCTGGCTGAGAAGGACTGCAGCTCTGGGTTCAATGTCTGCGTCTTCAGGGGTTGGGGCTCAGAAGATCTCAGCCCTGCTACAGTCGAGGGGTGTCCAGCTAGCCTTCATTGTGGATGAGGGGAGCTTCATCTTTGATGGTTTCATTCCCGACCTCAAGAATCCCTTCGCCATGTGAGTAAAGCACTCCATCCCTGACCTTGAAAGGAATTCTCTCCCCATTTGAGGTGACCCCAGCCTGGTATCTGTGAGCCATGCTGAGACAGCTCTTTGTTTACACCTCCTGTGTTAATTGCCTGGATCTTTAACTTCTCTGAGGCTTCCCCTTCTGTTCTCCCTCTAGCATGAAATTTTTAAAGCAGCATGAAGCTACCTCCTTGCCCACTAGACTATTGCATAGATGGACCTGTGGGCCTGTGGGAGAATTCAGAGATGCCAGAAGTCAGGAGAGGGGTTTCTGATCCTCTTCTACAGGATTGCAAACTCAGAGAAGGGTTCCATGAACCTCATGCTGCAATCAACATGACTCCAGGCCATTCTTCAGCTCCTCCAAAGGAGAGGAGCATGGGCATCCTCGCAGCTGCTGTCAGTCAGTAAGCAAGTCCTGGCTCTCCTCCTGTGCCAGACTTGAGATGGAAGACCTGGAACTTTCCCACTCTAAATCTGAGGACACTAAGCTTCCTGCCCTAAAGTTGGGTTGGGAAGCTATGCTTTAAAAAACACTAGAGGCAGAACGAAGGGGAAACCTAGTACAGATTAAAGATGCAGGAGATTAACACAAGAGGTGTAAACAAAGAGTTATCTCAGCATGGCTCACAGATACCAGGCTGCTGAAAATTCCTTCCAAGGTGGGTGAGGGCAGGAGGGGGGGCACGAGGCCACAGGAGAGACAGAGCCACCAGTAGCCTGCAAGGGCTGGAGTCAGAAGAGGCTCTATCAGTATATCCTTATGGAAAGCAAGAACCAACAGGCAGAAGCTAGGCCTGGCAACCGGAGTAGTCCAGAGCCCAACCATTTACAAATCACAAGTTAGCGCCAGGTGCAGTGGCTCGCGCCTGTAATCCCAGCACTTTGGGAGGCCGAGGCAGGTGGATCACCTGAGGTCAGGAGTTTGAGACCAGCCTGGCCAACATAGTGAAACCCCATCTCTATGTCTCTATTAAAAATACAAAATTAGCCGGGCATGGTGGCACATGCCTGTAATCCCAGCTACTCCGGAGGCTGAGACAGGAGAATTGTTTGAACCCTGGAGGTGGAGGTTGC